ATGCTTAACAACAACAGCAATTCCTTCTCCACAGATGTTTAACAATTTTAAAAGGGTTATGAAGAAGAATAGTGCATGTTCATCCTCTCAACCCTTTGACCCCTTTTCCCAACTCTCCTGGATCTAAAAGTTAGCAGCAAGGACTGCATCTGTCTGGTTTAAGTTGCCAGTGTGTACTGCAACTCCTTCCCTCCCAAGTGTCTAACACACTCGGCATGTGACATTTCCCAATTACCTCTTGGCCTTTCTATTCCCAGAGTCTGGCTCACATTTCTCTATGAATTGTGCCTGCATATAAATCCTGGAGCAAAACTGACAGTTAAGGGCATAGCAGCAAATATGCAGTTGAGGGCACCTGAAATGAGGAACCTCAGTTGTTCTCTAATAAGAGAGATTCACGAGTAAAGCTCGTCAAAAACTTTTTTTTTAAATCCTCCAAAAATGTTAAAAGAAACCTTTTACTACAATTTTCACTAAGATATTCTAACAATTTCCAACCATTTCTATTTAAGAACAACAAGCCCACTTTAATTTTGATGGGAAATACAAAGTCTTTATTTTTCCATTCCCCAGTTTGCTCCTTTGATGCTGAACAGTAGCAAGCAAGCAGGATTTAAGCTCGAAAGCAGATAAAGTACCGCTTGGAATGACCTTGCTGTTGGATACCAAACTGGGACTTAAAAAAATACAATTGTGCCCATCTTGTACCTCTGCCACAGATATATTGTGTAACCTTAAGCAAATCACTTTGTCTCCCAGTGTCTCAGTGCCCACTCAATAAAATATGGGGGAATATTTCCTTACCACATTGGAGCATTGCAAGCATTTTGGAAATACTGAGCTGTTATGAAAGAAGAGTCTTTAACAGTGACTAGATTAAAGCTACATCAAAGCAAAGGAAAACAACATTTATAAATATTTCTCGAGCAGCATGGATTGCCACAGACATTCTGGCTGACCCACAAGAGATAAAATCATTACTCGAGGCAAACTGGGTTATGCTAGGTATAATCAATTATAACATTTTATAAAAAAAAGCATGCGATTATTAATAGCCCATACTTCAAAGTCAACTTTCCACATATCCAATTCTATTACACCTACAAATTGTGCAAGAACTGTAACATTTGCTCCAAGGCTGCAGGCCAAAGACTGAAGTCTTTTTAGATAAACCCTCCTCACTGCCCAGCTGCCTCCTGTTGAGTTACACCTGGGATGAATTTAGGCCATTCAAATATAAGGATCACACACACAGCGTGCTTACCTTAATGTAAACTCATCTGCTAGGGAGTCGCCGTTAAGGGAAATATAGAAAGTTACAATGTCACCTTCCTTGACGGGGTTGAGTGGTAAGTGGATCACGACATTATCATCGAGATTCAGAGAAGACTGTTTTAGTTGGTCTTGATTCGGGTAAACAATGATGCTACCAATCCTCTCCAGTGGCGGCAAAGCTTTGTGATCATTATCTTGGCCCGTGTGTACGTTGTTTTCCCATTTTGCATCCTCAGGAGAGCACTCCCCATCTGCTGTGTAAATCTTATAGAAGAGCTCCACGGTAATCCCTTCCAGCGAGGCTGCTGTTTGCTCATACTCTGAAGCCAGGGGTGTAGGAGAGCTGAACCAGCTCGGCAATAATTCCAGTTCGGCCACACACAATCCGAGGTGACCTTTCAACCTGCAACTAGCCACGACTTCTCTCTCCTCCAGGAAAGCATACACCTTCACGCAGGGCAATTGCTCAGCAGGGTTATAGTCCTCCCAGTCCTTTCCCGCAATATAGAACAAGGCTTGCACTTTCGGCTTGTTGGAATACACCGAGCTCTCAATAATGTGAGACTTTAATTTCCAATTAAAAGCAAACTTATTTGTGAAACCAAATGGAGCAGAAGTCAGCATCAGCTCTTGGGGAATTGCCTGTTCAACTGAAAAGGGTCCATAAGTGGCATTTAGGACGGGTGGAAACTTGGCTTTGTATATAAAGAACGACTCCGTCCTAGACTGCAAACTGGAGTTCCTCATAATATCCTGATTGGCTTCTTTGAGGAAGAAGGAAACGTCGGCATTGCAGATGTGATAGCTCATGGGAAGATATGTAGGCAGGTTTGAAAATCTCTGTATGCTGTCCATGACGCCGCCTCTGCTTTCCACCACTGCAAACCAAAGGAAAAAAGAAAACAGAAAGACAATTCTAATATTTACTTAGGGTTTTGTCTCTTTCTCTCCAGATCCTCTCAAAAGCAATGATGCGGTAGAGATCATAACTGCTAGCTGTCATTATCAAGCACTTAAACACTGGCACCCTGTGGGGACCACTGCTCACAACTCAACAATCTGCCAGCACTTAACTTCCTTTTGTTCCTGTTGGCCTGGCCACATCTAAAATTTGCTTTAAATGCCAAACAGGTTCTAGATCAAGCCCCATCAGAAGAGGGTGACTGATGAGCGTGGTTCTGGCTCTGAAAATGCCTTATTGTTTGGATTGCAAACATCTACAACCCTTAGGTACAGAGACGATACCTTTTATTAGACCAACTGAGAAACTGCAAACAAAATTATCTTTTTCTGCAAGCTTCCGGGCTCACACGCCCTTCATCGGGCTCAGGGAAAGTTCAAGATGGTAAAAGTCCCCGTGTGTAGGAAATAAACTGCATTTCTGCATTGTTTGGATTGTCATTTTTCACCCCCCCAAAAAAAAAAAAAAAAAAAAAATTTCAGCCCCACCATTTATTTATGCCCAAGTTGTAACATATAGAAATCAAAAAAAGTGTGGAGGACAGATTGATTTGTTAACAACAAAAAACAAAAAAGATGGGAGACGGGGGTGGGGGTGGGGACGGACATGACTTTGACTGAAGTCTTCCAGAAGCAAAGCAAGGCAGCTTGGGTTTTGCAAATGTGCATCCATGGTTTTGCAAACCCGTAAGTAGTTTCATAGTAGGTAGGGTTGGAAGGGACCTGAGCAGATCATCAAGTCTGACCCCCTGCCATGGGCAGGAAAGAGTACTGGGGTCAAATGACCCCGGCAAGGTGATTGTCTAGCCTCCTTTTCAAAATCCCCAGGGTTGAAGCAAGCACCACTTCCCTTGGAAGTTGGTTCCAGCTCCTAGCCGCCCTGACTGTGAAGTAGTGCCTCCTGATATCTAGCCTGAATCGACTCTCGGACAACTTGTGGCCATTATTCCTAGTTACTCCAGGAGGTGCTCAGGGGAACAGGGACTCTCCCATTGCTTGCTGGTTCCCCTTGGCCAATTTGTAGATAGCCACCAGATCCCCTCTCAGCCTTCTCTTGCTGAGGCTGAACAGGTTCAGGTCCCGTAGCCTCTCCTCGTACGGCCTGCCCTGCTGCCCCCTGACCATGCAAGTGGCCCTCCTCTGAACCCTCTCCATGCTGTCCACATCCCTCCTGAAGTGCGGCACCCAGAACTGGACGCAGTACTCCAACTGCAGCCTGACCAGTGTCACACAGAGGGAGAGGATCGCCTCCTTGGACCTGCTCGTGATGCATCTATGGAGGCATGACAAGGTGCGGTTGGCCTTCCTGACCGCGTCCCCACACTGTCAACCCATGTTCATTTTGGCATCAATAATGACTCCAAGATCCTAACACTTGTCAGCGTTAAAACCCATCCTATTCTCATCTGCCCACCCCTGTAACCGGTCCAGATCTAGTTGCAGCCTGTCCCTCCCTTCCAGCGCACCCACCTCTTCCCACATAGTGTCATCCACAAATTTGAACAAGGTGCTTTTCAACCCCTCATCCAAGTCGCTGATGAAGATGTTGAACAGTGCGGGCCCGAGGACCGAGCCCTGGAGGACCCCACTGCCCACATCCCTCCAGGTCGAAAATGACCCATCCACCACCACTCTCTGGGTGTGGCCCTCCAGCCAAATTGCCACCCATCTAACTGTGTAGGCATCAATGCCACAGTCGCCTAATTTTTTTAATGAGAATGGGATGAGAGACAGTGTCAAAGGCCTTCCTGAAGTCCAGAAAGACTACATCCACCCCGACACCTGCGTCCAAGGATTTTGTGACCTGGTTATAGAAGGCCACCAGGTTGGTCTGACAGGACCTGCCCCTAATGAACCCATGTTGGTTGCCCCTAAGCATAATCTCCCCTGCCGGCCCCTCGCAGATGTGCCCCTGGATAAATTTTCTCAAAGAGCTTCCCCAGGACCAAGGTAAGACTAACAGGCCTATAGTTTCCCGGGTCCTCCTTCTTCCAATTTTTGAAAATGGGGACCACATTGGCCCTTTTCCAGTCATCTGGCACCTGGCCAGAGCACCACGAATAGAGTAGAAGCCATTCAAACCTGGGTTCCACTTAAAGTTGATCACACACTTGATGTAAGCAAATAAAATAATAGGCAAAAAATTCAGATGCATGGATTCTAATGTAGCTTTCAATGAGATGGTTTCTCAGACCCAAGCTGGACTTGAGAGAGAGAGAGAAATGACAAACCTTCTGGGTTAAAAAGTTCACAAAATTATTCAAAACATTTCACTTTTGTTCCAATAGAAAGTGAAAGATGAGTTTTGAAACCTCAAAAGTTATTGCAAAACAGAAAGGTCAGTCCTCTGGTCAACTCTAGCTCTCCCTTTTTCTCCAAACCCCACCCCCACCAATTTTGGTGAGAGGTAGGCATTGCATACAAGGTCCTACTTTGGATGCTTCTTTTATTAATAGTAAGAGATGGTCTGCTTAAATATAATTCTAAAAGAAAGAATGATGTATCCTCTAAGACAATCTGCTAGCTTATGGCAAAAGTCCAGTAAATGCCAATCCCTCCAGACCCATATAAAAAATAAACACAAATCAACTGAACGAAGGGACCACATTTCCATAATGTGAAGAGATAACAGGAAGAATGACAGATTCTAAAGTCAAACCTCTTATTATTGTCTATACCTAATCTGAAGGTGCCTATTTAATGTTTATCAGTAGTGGTTACAGCACAACACTACAGCTACAGAAACAATTCCCCCGTTACACGCTAGATGACTCAGATACTCGCAGCCACAGGTTAGCATAGATACAAGCTGTGAGGCATCTTTTCAAGGCCTGTATCTAGGCTACATTTCTTGAAGATACGTTCTCAGCCAAATCTCTTCCTCTCTTTGCCTTTGACTTTGCTCCACTCTTGTTCTCTTTTAAAATTCTGCTCATTTATTTTTGATGGCCTGCTATTCTCCATGCTTCTTTAAAGCACTCTCCATCCATTATACACATCCATCCATCCACAACCTACACCCCTGCTCCATCCATTATAACATTTCTGCTTTTGCTGTTTGTTATATGTTTTAACGTGGCCATTCAACTGGTGTGGGCATGAGAATGCAAGAACGCATGAGAACACGCATGGAACAACACCAATAAAAAGTGTCCCCTATCCCCTTCCATGCACCACACTGCTTTGTTGAGATTTCACAGCCCTGAATGCAAGATAAAGGCTTTGGGCATAACTGGGACTTTTCAACAAGCTCCCAGGTGGAGGGAGCAAGCAGATGTAAGACCCTAGAGTAAAGCAAGGGACCATGCTACAATGCGTCCATCACCTAGGTCCTAGTTCTCCCCTTGCTCCCATGGGGGTATAATGGACATCAGCCCTATACGAGGAAAAGGATGGAGCACCAGCTCCACCTGTCCACACACATGCAGAGCAAGGGAGGTGGCTCCACCAAGGCAGGTAGCCTCTAAAGGGACAAAAGGAATCCTTATAGCCCCTTACTTGCCTATGCAAGCGCTTTGCGGAGGGTTGCCACCTAGCTCTGATGTCAGTCATACGCGCAGGGGAAGACAATTTCTTTTTCCCCCTTTCAGGGAGAACATTAACCCCTTTCTGAATGTCTTGTCATTTGGGCGTGAACCAAAGCAGTCCCCGATAGCTGAGCTGAAAGAGGACAAGCCTCCCCGAGAAGCCAAGGGTGGACTGCAGGCAGCGAGAGGTGACAGGTTGCAGGCAACGGAGTCATTCTAAAACAGTCTGGGATGGAGCAAGAGAAATAGTCTAAAAAGAGAAAACTAAGGAAAGAGAGAGCAAGACAGGGCGAGGTGTAGCAGCTGCAGACGTGCTGGCTACCCCGAGTGTGAAGCTGCATCCAGTTGATGGTGGTGCCTACCTGGGGGATAGCACAGCAGTCAACAAGACACAGGTGAGAGAGCGGAAGATGGCCTGGGGACGTTAGGGAACCTGCAGACCCTTTTAAGAAGGATCAGCGAGTACAGAGGAGCCCTTCGATCAGCACAAAATTGAGGGGCGCTAACTGTTTGGGAGCTTCTGCTGCTTCCCGGATCGATCCATCCCTATGCGGCTGAAGGACAAACGCTATCCTTTCCTCTCCTTCCTTTGCCTACCAGAAAGATTTCCAACAATCATACTGCAGGGTCAGCCGTGTCTTATTTATAACAGGAAATTCAGGAACCAGTTCAATGATGTGTGGTGCCAAAGCCTATCCGAGCCACCGAGGAATGTTTTAGCAGCTCCATTACTGCACTGCTATTTATAGAGTACTTTTGACACGGCATGAGATGCCAGAGCATAGTTTGAAACTGCAGGTTTTCAGGAGCTCAAAGCGAACTTTG